TCATCTTATGTCAGTATAGAAATTGATACTTTAGTTTATGTTAGCTAACTAGGGACAGAATCAAAACTCAGAGGAAAATAACTGCACTAGAACTAAAAAAAAAAAAACAGTTTCAGGGAATTACATTTGTGCTGTCCCTGACTGCAACAATGAGTTTTATGTTTAAAAACCGAGGATATATTGTCCACTTTCATCCTCTGTCTCTTTAGCAGTAACTGGCTTTCATTGATTGGCTAGCTGCACTCAAATGGAAAAATCTAGCTGTTAGCCGCAATGTTCGGGTTTATAAAGCACTTTTTAAAGCAGGACTCAGAAGAAGAGATGCCATGCTTTTTGAAACCTTTTGTGTTTTCCTCACATCATCTCACTGACTGGATTACTTCATATTAAAAGTGAGGAAAATTGAAGGCTTTAGTGTGAACTTCAGCTTGTGAGTCTGGTGACTCAAACAGGCTCTCCTCCACACTGTCCTCATTTATTAAAGTGCTTTATAAACCAGAACAGTATGGCTAACAGCTGGCTGCTAGCCAAACAGCGAATAGCAACTTACTGCTAAAGACACAGACAGTGAAAGTGGACAGTATATACACAGTTTCTTAACAACAAACTCATTGTTGCAGCCCAAATGTGATCCCCTTAAACTGATTTTTGTCATTTTAAATTTGTAATGTTATTATTTTCCCCGGAGTTAACGATTCTGTCACTAGTTAGCTAACATAAGCTAATGTCTATTAGCCACAAACAAACAAACAACCACAAAGCATACTGGCAGAAGATGGGACTAAACTAAACATGTTTTTAAAACTTAAATCCAGATTTATAGATAGTGTTACATCTATGTCGGCTCAGTGGTGTAAATTAGTCTTTATATGTGTAGCATTTCATGTCCCCTATAAAGGTGTGTGTTTGCCAGTTGTTTGTGAATGATTTGGTGCTTGGCCATTTTGAATACACGTTTTTTTGGGGGGATTTTTTCTGACTTTTCGGTAATCGCTTTTGGATCAAGGCCATTGGATTAATTGATGGTATGACCCTGCCTGGTTTATGACTCTGGATACTTTGCTAAAAAGGTGCAAGAGCTAGTTGCCAACCAGCATCAAGCTGCAAAGCTAAGAGGTGCCAGAACTGATTGCTGATGGTAATAAGTACCAGTACTAACCAGTGAAACCAGTGGGGCAAAAGATGATTCCACTGGCCCTGGAAGTTGATGACATTAAAATGTTGCTTGACTTCTGAACAAAGGAATTTTATTTAACTTTTTAAACATTGTCCATGTTAATACCAGTGTACATTTTTATGTAAGATAAAAGTGTTGGTTTCATTGCTATAGCAAGAACCTGATAGCAAGTTAATAAAAAGGGAGCTACTTTAATAACCTCTAAACTTTTACAATACAACAATTACAAACTAAGACACAATGATGTAATTGACAGGGCCATTGTGATGATTTACAAAACAGACCACGTTCATTGAAGTAAAATGTGTTGCTTTCCCTATTTGTGCCCTTCTCGGTGCAGGACTATACTCTTATTGAAGATCAGCATGAAGTCAAATTGAGAGTGCATAATGCTACCAAAGACCACGAGGGCCTCTACACCTGTATTTGTACCTGGGCATACAATAATAAGGTGTACAGTACGTCAGGTTCCAGGGAACTTATACTTCTAGGTGAAACTGCATTCTTTGGTGTTTAGTTCTGGATACCAATACAACACATTGCGACACCAACATAAACTTGACTATATAAGTGAAATTGTAATGGCCTGTACATTTAACATGTTTAGTAATGAGCCAGAGCTAAAGATTTGTATGTATGTCACAGGTTTTCCTGATTTTTCAAAACAATACCCATAATATAGCATACCAAATGTCCTATTAGAGGATGAAAAATGGCTCACTCTTTTTGGTTGCTTGCAGAAAAAGCTGTGCACTACCTAGAAATTTTGACCCCAGCTGATGAGTCGCAGGAGCAGTTTGCTGATGAAGGTAATAAAATCTCATCTTCATGTCAACATGTTGCTGTCATAACACTGCAAATACTTGGTTAATAACAGTGATCCTCTAAAAGTTACTCAGTTAGCACTTAGCAGGACTAAAGTTGCATCCATACAGGGAGTGACTGACTCATCACTTAAGAAGGGGGAGGTGGAGCAGTGTGTTTTTGGGGACCAGTGCCTGATGAGGAGGGTAGCACACCTGTCTAATTAACCTCTCCTCTGGCAGTAGGTGTGGGGGCCAGAAACAAGACAAAGCCAAAAACAGAAAGAGAGAAAGTTTGTGTGTAACGCTTTGTGTGAATAAAATTGTTTGTAAAATGCAGCCCTCTGCCCTTCCTGGGGAGAGCTCACAGTGGCAGGAGCAACTGCCACACTGGTGCCCAATGTACCTGGTGACCCAGGAAGGAGTGGCGGTTTCTCCAGCACTGTCACCTCCACTCTCTGAGGTGGTCTTATTTAAAATGACGGAGGTGGATGACCTGTAGACTTTCCTGGATGCATTTAAGGCAATGGTGCAGGCTTGCAAGTTTGCCACCTTCCGTTTAAGGGAGTGTTGCTGCAATCAGGGCTTACAGGCATCCTATAGTGCCAGTGGAAACTAAATACAGGAATAAACATAGAATTAAGGCTGATGTTTGGTACCGATTGGCGGGGGTTTGATAAACTGGTGGAGGTGTTATATGAGTGGCCATCGGGGAAGATTTTCAAGGCATCTTATTACTACTCCATAGCTGGTCACATGGAATATATAAAAACTCTGGAAAGAATAATGGCCCAGTTTTACTGACTGTGCATTCAGGGGAATGTGCGCCTTTGTCGTGCATCTTACCCTGTATTCCAGTGGGTTAACCCGCCCTCTTTCTTTCTTCATCCTTCCTTCTTTCCTTGCAGGCTCTGAGATTAAGCTGAATTGCTCAGTTTTGTGTGGGACTAATGTGAAACATGACTGTAATGCCAGCTGGTACATCAATGGAATTCCTTTCAAAAACAGGGATGGTTATAGTCAAACTACCAAAATGTAAGCCTCTTTTATACTTCACACAATGTACACTTAATGTTTTGCTAATCCTTTGAGTGGATTTCAACATGTAGTTTAAGGTGCTTCTAAGGTATTTTACAGAATAAGTTCATATGACCTCTTTAAGTGCTATTGTTTAAGAGTCACACTTAAGGGAACCTCAAAGATCTGTTGAAAATATGTTAAATAGTAACTGTTATGTATTTCCTATCCTTTGTCTGCAGTGAACCTTTCTGCTGAACTTTGTCTTTGACCCTTTGTCTTCTTTAACAAAACAAACTCTTATCTTCTTTGTTAGAGCAACTGAGGAACCTTCAAAGAATACCATTGCCACTGCAATCCTCACCATTAAAAAAGTGTCTGCTAAGGATTTTCAACAGAAGTTTAAGTGTTTTGGCGAGAGCTATTACGGAACAAAGAATGCCAAATTAACTCTTAAGAGGAAAGGTCAGTCACAGGACCATTGATTGTTTTTTAGCCTTGCTAACAAAAATGTCTGTTGACTTTTAGCGAAGCATGGAAATGTTATTTTACACTATAATTTTGTGTTTCCTAGAATCCATAATTCCACTTGCCATTGGAGGAGTATGCATGTTATTCGTTGGTGTTTTTGTCGCTGTTTTGGTCAAATACTTTGCCATTGACTTAGCCCTATTCTTCAGACCCTACTTCCCACTAAGCAGTAGCAATAAAGGTAAGAGAGTAAATATTTTTCTTGGGGCCTTTATTATCTTAGTTTTGTACCAACAGTAAAGGAATGAAGTACAATGCTAATTAGTCAGTTTCAGAGGGAAGACCGAGCCAGTTTAGCTGCTACTCCTGCTCCCTGGCTTCAGTGCTATACTTTAAGGAAAACTGCACCAGTTTAACACATCCAAGACTTAAGAGAGGAGGATGTTGTGGTTATAGACCCTGAAACATTATGTCAAAACAAAAGTTACTTCCTAAAATATTCATCAGCTTGTTTGCTACAAAATAGTGGTATCCAGTGGTTTTCAATATGACAAATTAGAAATATAAGAAAAATGCAAGAGTAACCAAATTGAATAACAAATAAATAAACCTGAAGTGTTCTGGTTTCCTTCTGAAGGTTCAAACAACATATAAAAAATGTTGGTTCACTTTGGCTATGGTGAACAAGTAAGCCAAATGCCTTTTGGAGAAAGGTTTTGAGATGGCATGACATAGACTCTATTAATCCCACACTGTGGCAATTCACATATTACAGCAACACAAGGGTCCATAAAGTGCAGTTGGAGCGATAATATATACACAGTTTTTAGCAGCCATTTATCATGTGTGCATATTCTACAGTCTCAAAACTGGTTTTGGAAAGGTTAAAGCAGGCTAATATTAAGTTTCTACATTGGCCTTCCCAAAGCCTGACCTCAACCTTATTGAAAATTTGTGAGTGACGCCTAAAAGCGAGATGATATCACAAATTTAAACCTACCAGTTCTGCCAAGAAGGGTGGTCAAACATCCGTCCAGAATTGAGTCAGAAACTTTTTGGGGGCTGCTAAAAGCATCTGGTCAAGGGGCATCTTACCAAATATTAGTGGTAGTATTATAATATATTTGAGCCTGTATGCATAATCTTGACTCTGCATTTGTGGGATGAATTAAAACCTGTCCTCCCAATTGTTGTTGGGGTTTTTTTTGTATGTTTTAACCCATTAAAGATGTATGCTGTACAATTGTTCCACCCTGGAAAAAGAAAGGTTCAAAGAAGTTAAAAATTACACATTCATGTCAGTGATGAGTGTTTGTAACGTCTGACCATAACTGTTCAAACACAAATGACTTATTGTGGTGACAGGGTCACTTTACATCACAATGAGCCGATAAGGAAGAAACATTAATTTAAAAAAAAGCTGAGAAAACCTTGTCAAAGAAAGTACACATCAATTTCCACTGATTTGTTTGTTTCCCAGACACAAGTTTATATGACGCCTATGTGGTCTACCAGACACCAATGGACAAGATCACTGAGGACACACTCTCTCAGTTTATCACGCAGACTTTGCCCTCTGTCCTCGAGGATAAGTGCGGATATCGGCTCTTTATCCACGGGAGGGATGACATACCAGGGGAAGGTCAGTGTTTTATGTGCTTTAATTGTAATTTTGGACATCAACAACCAATATATGTTGTTTTTGTGATTCAGGTATTTTATTGTCTGCAGTGTTCTTTGTAGCCCAGCTTAAGCGCTAAAGGGATACCAGTGTTGTGCTGCCTAATTTAAAGAGCCATCATGTACCTGTTTATTTACTTTTTTTGGTTTTGTTGTTTTTTTCTTTTCGTTGTACCACAACAGATCGTCTGGAGTTGGTGGAGAAATGCATGAATCAGAGCAGGAGGCTCATGGTCATTCTCACACCAGATCTGGGATCAGGCTCCATGACGACAGAGCGATGGCCTGCCTCACCCCAAACCTCAGTGATGGGAGGGTTTGACTGGCAGGTGAGAACTGAGACAGGGACTGCCTGGGAGTATGCTCATTGGCCTAATGACCTGTGATTGACAAATCATTATTCAAGGACTTGTAAAGCACCCAACGTGCTCATCCAAAGGCTTTAAAATTGGACTTCACAAACCAGTGAGTGGGGTCAAGGTAGCTATGTTCATCTTTTATGCTGTTGCAATCCACACATCAGAATTCTCTGGCTTACAGAAACCTGGCAGGTTTGCATACCAAGAGACTCACATAAATACGCTTATCCAGCGTTTCCCACTTTCTCTGTCTGTCTTTCTCTGCTTTGCAGGCAACGTGAGCAGGGGCCTTTGTAGCATCTTTTTTAAATGGGGGTGGGAGTTGTGGAACCAAGAATAAGGCACACAAGGAGGTCCACAAGAAATTGTATGGCCTTGCAATATAAAGTGTGTTGAGGCAACTGTTGTTGTGATTTAACGCTATATAAATAAAATGTAATTTAAATTCACTGAAACTGGAATATTTAGTCAGAGATCAATTCAGTGCAGAATAATTTGCTGTAGAAAGCATTAGACATGGAGTGAGGACCTTGCCAACTGCTTGGCTTTCCTCCTCCTGGCTTTGTAGGAGGCGAACAGGGCAGGAGGCAGGTCCTGAGAGGAAGTACACTTGTTGCCACTGGATAATGGTTTAAGAGGCTTGGTGCTAACATCCTCTCTATCTTCTCCACAGTAGGCAAATTTGTTTTGCTTAATTATATTTCTTTAAAATATAACTGATTTAGCCACTTCACACTTCTTTTCAATTTAATTTAATTACATACATTTTTGTTCCTTGACAAACGTGACAAAAGTTTTCAGAATCCTGTGCAGCCCTGTGTCCCATTTCAGATTTATTACATGAAAAGTTGTGTTGCACAAGTATAATTTTGTGTTGGATAACTGTTTTGCAGTGTGGAAAAAAGTATTGAAAAGTTATACTTCTACTTAATTAGCTTAATGGTGCACAGGGTGTATAATCAATATAACTGCACAATATATTTTAAATACTGATAGTATACACCTATTGTGTGGAATTACACTTCAGATTCTTTTATCATTTTAAAAAATACCTACAAGTAGAATCCAAACTGTAATATTTGCATCCAAAATATAGTGGAGTAGAAGCAGAATATGGTACAGCACTTAAATAAAGTGCAAGTAAAGTAGTCAAGTAAATATAATAATTTATATTCCTGTACTCTAATTTATTGGTATTGCATGATGTAAGATACTGGTACTCTAGTACAATACCGTCGGTGGGAAAAGTACAATATTTTTACAGCAAATCTAAGGAAACAAGTGCACATGGGGGAAAAAATCCTTGTGGAGAAATGTAGCATAACCTCCACACACTGTTACCATTACATTTTTATTCAATTACAACTTTTTGGTCCTTGCAAACTTTGTGAGATACAGAAATAAAGTGTCCGTGCAAACATTTGCATCTATGTATGCATTCAGTAAGGTTCGGCCAATTAAGGATGCCTGGCTATTAGACATGTCACACAGACTGAAATATTGGAAAAGAATAAACATAATGGTAAACGGGACAATGTGTGGCTGTTATACTATATTTCTCCACAAAGACACTATTTGAAGAAACAGACATTTGAAAAAAATTAATGATCAGATAAAAAGGAGAGATGGAGGAGAGAGGGAAAAAATGAAACTGAGATGCAGCTAAATAAGTACCACTTGGGGACCAGGGCCATGTGCTACAAGTTCAATACATCCACTCCATATGGCTTTATACACGGTGACCATCAACTTTATTTTGGTGTAAGTAAGCAAACAAGCAGTAATAGCAGTTACACATAGTTGAATAGTTGATGCACAATTGAATATTTTGAATTTCATTTTGAATTTTTCCTTTCAGTTCCATTGATGGTTCCATTAATTTATGGTTAGTTTTTACTAATTTAATTGTTAGTTTGAACCTTTTTATTAACATAATGTGGGTGACATGTTAAGAAGTTTAGAAAAGGCGTTGCAGTTATCAGGCGTCACTTACCTTGACACTAGCAAAGGCAAGTGACATATCATATCTTAATTTATTCATGCAAATAGGGAGGCTTCTTCACACACTAAGGTTAATTATGGAGTTACACAGGGTTCTGTACTAGGACCATTTCTATTTACATTATACATGCTTCCCTTAGGCAGCATTATTAGAAAGCGTAGCATACGTTTTCATTATTATGCAGACGATACCCAGCTTTATGTATCCATGAAGCTAGATCACATACACAAATTAGTTAACCTGCAGGTTTAATTGAAATTATTTTACTGAGCCATAAAAATATAAGAAAAACAATTTTGTCCATCTAACTACCCCTTTTTCACTCTCTGTGTGTTCATACACTGCTCTGCATTTAATCATCAGTTCTTATTAATCTGGCTCTTGTCACACCGTGTTTTTTCTCCTATCTCCCCTAACCCCCAAATAGCTGCCCTTCCTTAATCCTGGTTCTGCTAGCAGTTTCTTCCTGCAAAAAATAAGTTTTTCCTTCCCACTATCACAAAATCCTTGCTCATAGGAAATTTTCTGATTGTTGTGGTTTTCTCTCTATAGTCACAGGATCTTTACCTTAGAATATAAAGCGCCTTGAGGCATCTGTTGCTGTGCTAATAAGGAATAGATTGATTGTTGTGAAAACAAATGATTCTACTTATATGTTTATCATGGCATCATATTTTTATACTTAAATTTATTCTATTTTTTCAATGTGCAGCACTACTAGATAGCATTTATGTAAATAAAAATACTAAGTGTACAGTGAAAGGGTGACTAAAGTGTTGTTGATCATTTACCAGGTGGGGCTCCACCATGCATTGGTCCAGAGGGAACTGAGTGTGATTTTGATCCAGCTGGGAGACACGGGGCCACAGCAATACACACACCTCCCCCCGGCCTTGCAGCACCTGATTCGTAAGAGTGCCCCTTTGAAGTGGCCAGAGGGCTCTGGAGGCGCTGCAGCATGGAACTCTCGCTTCTGGAAGAGAGTGAGATACCTGATGCCTGCCACACCTGTCAAAAAATGTGCACAGTCTACTATTATCTAATACATCTTTCAACACGTTTTGTTTAATGTTTTGTACATATATTGGGAAATGTAAGAAAA